CTGGACGTCTAAGGGGGCGGAGGGATAGGGTCGTGGGTGTGTTTGTATATTCTGGCTCCACCTCTCTGGATGTCTAATGGGGCAGAGAGATAGGGTCGTGGGTGTGGTTGGATATTCTAGCTCCACCTCTCTGGACGTCTAATGGGGCGGAGGGATAGGGTCGTGGGTGTGGTTGGATATTCTAGCTCTACCTCTCTGAACGTCTAATGGGGCGGAGGGATAGGGTCGTGGGTGTGGTTGGATATTCTAGCTCCACCTCTCTGGACATCTAATGGGGCGGAGGGATAGGGTCGTGGGTGTGGTTGGATATTCTAGCTCCACCTCTCTGGACATCTAATGGGGCGGAGGGATAGGGTCGTGGGTGTGGTTGGATATTCTAGCTCCACCTCTCTGAACGTCTAATGGGGCGGAGAGATAGGGTCGTGGGTGTGGTTGGATATTCTAGCTCCACCTCTCTGGACATCTAATGGGGCGGAGGGATAGGGTCGTGGGTGTGGTTGGATATTCTAGCTCCACCTCTCTGAACGTCTAATGGGGCGGAGAGATAGGGTCGTGGGTGTGGTTGGATATTCTAGCTCCACCTCTCTGGACATCTAATGGGGCGGAGGGATAGGGTCGTGGGTGTGGTTGGATATTCTAGCTCCACCTCTCTGGACATCTAATGGGGCGGAGGGATAGGGTCGTGGGTGTGGTTGGATATTCTAGCTCCACCTCTCTGAACGTCTAATGGGGCGGAGTGATAGGGTCGTGGGTGTGGTTGGATATTCTAGCTCCACCTCTCTGGATGTCTAAGGGGGCGGAGAGATAGGGTCATGGGTGTGGATGGATATTCTGGCTCCACCCCTCTGGACGTCTAAGGGGGCGGAGGGATAGGGTCGTGGGTGTGTTTGTATATTCTGGCTCCACCTCTCTGGATGTCTAATGGGGCGGAGAGATAGGGTCGTGGGTGTGGTTGGATATTCTAGCTCCACCTCTCTGGACGTCTAATGGGGCGGAGGGATAGGGTCGTGGGTGTGGTTGGATATTCTGGCTCCACCTCTCTGGACATCTAATGGGGCAGAGGGATAGGGTCGTGGCTGTGGTTGGATATTCTAGCTCCACCTCTCTGAACGTCTAATGGCGTGGCGAGATAGGGTCGTGGGTGTGGTTGGATATTCTAGCTCCACCTCTCTGGATGTCTAAGGGGGCGGAGAGATAGGGTCATGGGTGTGGTTGGATATTCTGGCTCCACCCCTCTGGACGTCTAAGGGGGCGGAGGGATAGGGTCGTGGGTGTGTTTGTATATTCTGGCTCCACCTCTCTGGATGTCTAATGGGGCAGAGAGATAGGGTCGTGGGTGTGGTTGGATATTCTAGCTCCACCTCTCTGGACGTCTAATGGGGCGGAGGGATAGGGTCGTGGGTGTGGTTGGATATTCTAGCTCTACCTCTCTGAACGTCTAATGGGGCGGAGTGATAGGGTCGTGGGTGTGGTTGGATATTCTAGCTCTACCTCTCTGAACGTCTAATGGCGTGGAGAGATAGGGTCGTGGGTGTGGTTGGATATTCTAGCTCCACCTCTCTGGATGTCTAAGGGGGCGGAGAGATAGGGTCATGGGTGTGGTTGGATATTCTGGCTCCACCCCTCTGGACGTCTAAGGGGGCGGAGGGATAGGGTCGTGGGTGTGGTTGGATATTCTGGCTCCACCTCTCTGGATGTCTAATGGGGCGGAGAGATAGGGTCGTGGGTGTGGTTGGATATTCTAGCTCCACCTCTCTGGATGTCTAAGGGGGTGGAGAGATAGGGTCATGGGTGTGGTTGGATATTCTGGCTCCACCCCTCTGGACGTCTAAGGGGGCGGAGGGATAGGGTCGTGGGTGTGGTTGGATATTCTAGCTCCACCTCTCTGGATGTCTAAGGGGGCGGAGAGATAGGGTCATGGGTGTGGTTGGATATTCTGGCTCCACCCCTCTGGACGTCTAAGGGGGCGGAGAGATGGGGTCGTGGGTGTGGTTGGATATTATGGCTACACCCCTCTGGACGTCGAATGGGGCGGGGGGATAGGGTCGTGGGTGTGGTTGGATATTCTAGCTCCACCTCTCTGGATGTCTAATGGGGCGGGGGATAGGGTCATGGGTGTGGTTGGATATTCTGGCTCCACCCCTTCGGCCCAGATTACATTTTCTCCTCCTTGCTGGACGTGAGCTCTACACATGTGTTCTGCAGAGCAGCCTCTCTTAAAATCACAGATAGGAACAACATTCAAGCAGAACCGAGCACAGGTATTGGCTTACAAATTATACCCAGTTACCAGATATATATTTTTAATTAATTTTGAATTGAAATAAGTTTACTGTGACATAAAATGTACAATATGTGTACCGAATTGACCAGTTTCCATTTAAAAGAGGAAGTTTATCTGTCAGTGTAGGACAAATGTGCACATATTAACACATCATCTCATGTTCTGTAGAGAGTTTCTGATTAACTGCATGCATTAATAACTATAGATCAAACTCAAAACTTGACTAGAACTAAAAACAAACCTGCCAAACTTGTATTATGCACTATATAATAAAACCCCTTATTATTATGCACACAGGCATATATTAAATAATACCAGTGCTTTTTAACAGTTTGTAACTCCATTCGTTTTTAAATAGTAAGTCCGACGAGCCGTTCTGGAGGAAGTGTCTGCGAGTATCACAGTAACACCGCTGGTTATTTAGATTGAGAGACTTTAACCAGCCGTATACAGTAAATCTGAGTCCAGTCCAATGACGTCTTCAGTTCTCAGAAATGTATTTCATTGAAGCCTCTTGATCCTTTGCATACATTCCCCCCTTCATTCCAAAAGAAGGACCACGAAACCCTTCCTCATTGAGGTCAATCTCATGAATCTTTGTCTATATCCCCAGTGTCATCACTGTGATTCTCAGGGTTTTGATGGTATGCAATAGCTCTCTTCCTTAAAGGATCCCGGATGGTCCAAGTTCTGGCTCCTGGTTGGGCGGGGGCCAGCGCTTCTCAAACTTGCTGAAGAACAGCGGGTCGGTGAAGGGCCCTCCGTACACGATGATCTGCAGAAGGTACACCAGGACCACCACCAGGCTGGAGATCAGGAAGAAGGGAATGAAGGGACGGAGATGCGTCCACACCACTCCCACTCCGTAACTCAGCCCTCCATGGTCCCGGTAGTGCGTGGTCTTTCGTGACGTCGACGACGCTGGTCCGGACGAGGCGTAGTTGTCTGAATCCGTGTAATTGGAGGATTCTGGATCGATGGAGTCCATGGCGAAATGATATCGATGGTTGAGTGTTCCCAATCCTCCAAGGAAATCCAAATGATCAATGATTAAAGCATCCAGCAAAGGCAGATTTTCGGCTGGCCAGCATATCCTGATTGCATGATCCTTTGAGTCTTGAGGTGATCAATCGATATTGCCAGATGAACACAAAACACTCCAGAACTTTAACCCCAAAGCTTCGTCATGCACTGGAGACTCTGTGTGTGTGTTTGCGTGCTCTGATAGAGACGGCGTCTGCAGGGACCTCATCAGATCACCAGCGCTTTCATGCCAGAGAAACACGATACTCTGAGAGAGATACTCGGAGTGCAAACGATATATATAGCACCAAATGACTGGAACATGTGGACGAAACAGAGACACTGAGTCATTTAGTTTACTGTGTCAACAGCCTAAAATTCATTAGTGTTGAGAAGCACGTGCACCATGTGTAATCATTATCCTCTCTTCAGTCTTCACCGTCCTCTCGCTCTCTTCGAGGAGCTTCACCCGGATGGGGTTCCTGATCTGAAGTTGTGAGATTCAACTCTCTGTTCGGGTTATTGTGGGCGATTTGATCAATTTGACGTGTTCAACCTTTCCGAATCAGTTCACACATGCCACATATTATTTACTATTTTCATTCCAACTTTGTCTTTATTACTAAACATTTTTGCAGCCTGTCTGTAAATGGACTTTATATCAAGTGGTAGGCCTATCTTATAACATGTCAAGTTATGAAACACTGCTGTAAAAAGCGTAAACATCTGAGTTCAGAATGATCATTTCTGCAGTGTGTGATTGTGAAATGCTCGGCATACAACCCTTACCAGAAGGCGTTTATTCAAGTGTGCGATTCTTCGTTTGAACTGAAGACGGGTACCTATACTGCCAGCCTTCTGTTTTTGCACACAGACATGTTCTCTACCACTATAATGATCGAACATAACCTCGTCTGAATGAATTAATGACTCATCTACTCATGTTTAATTGTGAAAAGAGCAGCCGGGACATTCTGCTAAAGATTAGAGAAGTCATATACAGGTTTAGAGATTCAGTAAATGATGACAGAACTTTCCTTCTTGTTCATTAAAAGCATTCTTCAAAAATATATATTTGCACATTTATAATGTATCTCCATGTTTCTCGAACTCCTGGACAACAACCAATCTGGCTTCCGAAGCGAACACTCAACGCATACTGAAATAAATATGTTTATTTTGTTAATAACAACAGTAATATTCAGTGTTGTAGTACTGGAGACTCGGACTCGTCTCGGACTCGGTCTCGAGACCATATTTTAATGGTCTTGGTCTTGACTCGTGTCCATTTGGACTCGGAATTGACTCGTACTCGAAAATTTATTTTTTTTAGGACTCGGAATTATTCCCGAGTCCACTCGAGTTCAATTAAAAATATTTTTCATGATTATTAATGTATGTTAATAAAATATTTCTTTAAATTGATTGACACGCCCAGTGATTGGTGATTTTCTAGTGCGCAACTGCGCATGACAAATTGTAATAAAATTACTTTTAACACCACCTACTATGTGGCCTTTTTACCCTAAACTGATCATATTCAGTAAAAAAAAAAAAAAAAAAAAAAAGAAGGATTTCTCTAAGTAAATAAAAGTAAATTAGGTAATCAACCCTCACTGGACTCGGTCTCGACTCGGACTCGAGTGAGGTGGTCTCGACTACAACACTGGTAATATTTTAAGGAAGAATTATGGCGATGTCTGTTCAGTTCCAGCAGGCCCAGTTATTGATGCTGTTTGGTCAGGTCTGTGAATGTGTGTGTGTTACAAGAACATGGAAAGATGCTCTCGAATCATAGTTTTATTATCGTGATGTACTTTAATAGTTTATTACAAAAATCAAGTGTGGAGAACTTGCCTCTTAAACTAGTTTACTTCACTTGAAGAAATGTTGAAACCAATTGCAGGTATTTTTTTAAGCTCCATAGTTTAAAATGAAAGATTAAATCCAAGTTGAGAATAATAGTATTTAGGAAGTATATTATGTGAAATTGAAGTATTAAACTTTTTTAAATTGATTTAGAGGAGTTACTGATTGCGTGTTTAACTTCAATTTTCCCTTTAAGTTTACTTAAAATATAAGGCATGTTCAGTAAACTGAACTTAAAGAATTTACAGTGTGTACCATAAGAACAAAAAGCGTGTCATATTTCTGAATTGCAGAAAAGACGGAAATCAAACCAATCTAAATGTACATTATTAAACAGCCCAAAAAGAAAAAGCCAAGGGTTCAAAATGAAACCCATACAAACCCAAAACATTTAAAGAAAGAATGAAAACTGATCATCCACATTAGACACTATTCACTCTCAAACGCAGATTACGACAATTCTTACGCTCTCCTTTCTTATTTCATTCATTCATTGAGTTTCTCATCCACAACATTAATAATATTCTCATTGGGATCTGTCTCTTGCTCTGTCTGCATGCCAGAATATGATGCGTTTTCCTCGGTCTGCTCGTTCTGTCCACTCTCGTCCCTCTCTCCGTTGGCGTCAGAAACCCCTGGATCTTCTTCTGTGTTTGTGTCCGTCTCTTTCTCCCTCCTCTCCTTCTCTATCTTCGAGAGGTGATGGCACAGAGCCTGTACATACGTGAAGACACACAGCGGGTCTGGCCTGTTGCCCATCAGCAACATGTCCGACACTTCCAGAAGGGGGCAGCAGTCAGCCAGAGATCTGCAGAGATCAGAGAGAGAGTTTAGCATTTACATCCTCGCACACGTCTGTCCACACATGAAGCGTCCGCTTACTCTGCCGTACTGAAGGCCAGACTGAAGTTCTTCTCTCGTTCGCTGGCTTTGAGGGAGGAGAAGTCGAAAGCAGAGGGAAAGAAGCGATGAACGAGTGCACAGAAAGCCAGGCCGTCACTCCAAGAGGAAGAGAAGTTTTCGATGCAGACACCCTGAGATATATCATATAGGAGACATTGTATTATTGAAACGTGGATTTTCTTCGAAACAATCTGTATGGTGAAAAGCGCTCTGAACTGAAATTGAACAGCACGAGAAATACACAATGTCATATTGTTTTCAAGATTATGAAAATAACCCGATCTTACCGGATAATTTAGCTATTTCATTGTTTTCGAATTGTATGATGTGAATCATACAATACATGTGATTTTTTTAGAAAGATAATAAGCATGAAGTTCCAGAGCAGATTGTACAGCAAATAGTTGTAAATGTAAAATAGTTAGGGATTTCCACTAGATTGTGTTGAAATGATGACGGTTCCCAAACAACTGTCTGAACGTATAAAGTATTTTGAGTTATGACGACTAAGGTCATACTAGCCGGATGTTTGTAAAGCCTAACATCTTGACAGTTTTGGGTAAGTCTAAAAAGTATTTAATTACTTTTAATTACTAATTACTTTCAAAATCCCATATCAATCTCAACCAGCTGAATAATACAAGGATAGACATGAATCTGTTTTAATTATTTCAAATAAATACTATAAAATTGCATGAATTATCCTTAAACTGACCAAGGTGGAGAAGGTTACATTACTTTTTAGCACCAGACAATACATTTTGATGTTAAACCCACTATTGTTTTATGTCTGATCTCATGACATTTCACACTTTTTTCATACATATTTTACAATAATTCATACGAATTTGTACGAGTGCGGTCATACGATTTAGACACCTCATAAAATGCATACGAATCGCTGTGAGATCAGATTGATCTATACACAGTATTTACCTCAATTACATCAGAAGTAACTGTAATTAAATTACAGATAAATTAAGATTAATCCCTTATTTTACATTTTCAAGGGAAAAGTAATTAAATTACAGTAACTAATTACTAATTACTGAAAACAAGGCTGTGAGGGACAGAAGTGTTGGATTGTACTGTTGATTTAAAAACATAGCTGATGAAAAATCTCTCCAAATACTGCCATGTTTCCATCAACCTATTTTTATTTGTATTTTGGCATATCACATAAAAAAAGATGGATGGAAACTTCAAGATGAGCACCAATTCCAAAAATGTAAAAGCGATGAATTGAGATGGATCTTTTTAAAGTTAATTTCACAACTTTGGATGGAAACATAGCTATTGTTCTTTGGTCTCTTTCTATGACAGGCTGTGATGGTTCTGATTGGCTGTTTTTGAGAGTGTATGTGACGTTTGAGCTTTAGCTTACCTCATATTTCTGTGTTTTGTTCCGGCACCAATTGAGTATTTTCTGTTTGATTGATGCTCCACCCGCCATGCCTATAGATGTCCGTTGAACTTTAAAGTTTCGGACACCCGGAGTCCTACAAAAAGCCAACAAATAATATTCAGATTAGATACTGAAGAACACTGAGCTGACTTCAGTTGAGCAACGACACTTCTTCTTAGAGCTACTTCACATCCGAACTGAACTCTGCATCATTAATTCGGTTATTTCACTTTTTATCCCTGTAAAGCTGCTTTGCAAACAATCTGAATTGTAAAAAAGTGACTAACTGAACAAATGCATTTGCTCAACAAAACCAGTTCGTTGCTAAGATCTCTTATGAGGGAACATTGACGCCACAACATGCTGTTGACGCAAATGGTAACGGCTTCAGCGTGAGCCGGTGTCACGCCAAGCTATTGGCTAATGACGAAGTCAGGTGACGCAACAAAATCTCATCTCTTAGTCATGTGACAATCTGATGACCTAATGTAAAATAGTAACAAGAGAGAACCCACACCCTGATGAACGCTCATTAGCCGCAACTCGTCGGTGTGCGGTTATTTGAAAATGGTTTTGATAAAATAAAGGCTTTTTATATACATTTACTTAAACTCTCAAAGTGCCTTGGCTTGATGCGTTTTAACAGTCGAATTATCTCTACATCCAAAGGATACGGATTTTGCACCCCATGCAGCGACGTTTCTTCAGACAATTTGCCGTTGCCGATCTCTCACAGATATTATTTATAGATGTGATAGCGCTCGTCATTGCGTCACCTGAATTCGTCATAAGCCAATAGCTTGGGACGTACTCAGACTCCGGCTCAAGCTGAAGGCGTTTACATACACTAAATATAACTATTGTGTGGGTGATCACAACTTTCAGGCACATGGTATTTGTGACTGGGGAATGAGGTTTATTAGAAGGATGAACTGATGATGAGGAGGATGATGAAGATGACTCACTGCTCCTTCTGAAATTTGGCCATGGCGTCTCTTCTGGTGGAGGGTCGGGCCGCTCGGGAACAGTTGGAGGATTTTGTGCTTTTTCTACTTAGATTTTCTGCTTTGATTTTGACACCATCTTTAGTCTCTTTTTTCTCTTTTGTATCTCGTTCATCTTTCTTTGTTTTAGTTTTGCCTTCGGTTTGTTTTTTCCTCTTCTCGTCTTCTTTGTGCTTTTCCTCAAGCTGTCCTTCTTTATCGCAGGAATCATTATCTTCCGAATGAGGGACATTATTGCTCTCCTTTCCTTCTTCTACCTCACTTTCTTTCTTTTTATTTACCTCTGTCTCCTTTTCTTGTTCTCCAGCTTTATGTTGTGTGATGTCTGTCTCTTTATTCTCTTCCTCCACTGTGTTGACATGCTCTGTGACTCCGCCCTCACGCTCACTTGCCTCACTCTCATTGGCTCCACCCTCACGCTCACTTGCCTCACTCTCATTGGCTCCACGCTCACTTGCCTCACTCTCATTGGCTCCACCCTCACGCTCACTTGCCTCACTCTCATTGGCTCCACGCTCACTTGCCTCACTCTCATTGGCTCCACCCTCACGCTCATATGCCTCACTCTCATTGGCTCCAGCTCCTGTGTTCTCCTGGTTTTCTGTGTTGTCCTCATTAGCTCCACCCTCACACTCATATGCCTCACTCTCATTGGCTCCGCCCTCGCAGTCACATGCCTCCCTCTCATTGGCTCCATCTTCTGTCTTCTCCTGTTTTTCTGTGTTGTCCTCATTAGCTCCGCCCACTGTTGTCTCAGCCCCGCCTCCTGGCTCTGAGTCAGCTTGATCACACTGAATGACACCAAAGCACAAAATTACCAATCAGTGTGTCTCTCCAGTGTGTACACCGACCAATTCTATCATGTGAAAATTATCGGATTTATGTTTTATATCTGGACACCCCAAACAGAAGTAATGCAACATTTATCAAGGTGAATGTGAGAATTTGTGTAAGTTTGTAAGTACAAAAGTGTACAACGTGTAGGTAGAGGAAGAGGAGAAGGAGATAGAGGAAGAGGAGGAGACGGACCTGAACAGTTGATAGAACCTGAACAAAGAAGACGAGGACCAAATTTGACTCAAGAAATCTGTGCAACACTTCTTGACCATGTTATCAACCACGGCCTGACACTGATGGAGGCTGGACGAAGAGTTCAACCAAACCTCTGGTTGATACTGTAACTGAATAGTTCCAGTATTCTTGTTGCTTTTACAGTAATTTTCAAAGTGTATGTACTTCATGCAGTAATTTTTATTTGTCTACAGATTTTATTAGTTTCATTGACTTCATTGTTGGTTGATTACTGTAACGGATGATGGTAAGAAATACTGTAAGTATTGAAATAAATACTTGAAATATTCCGTCTGCAGCATCAGTGTTGTGCAGTGCTTGGTAGGTTTATAGTAGGCCTATCTGTGTACATTCTCCCTATATCTCAAACTAATCATGAAGAATGGTGTGGGTTTGTCACTATATATTTTTTTCATAAATGATAGAAAAAAAACTGTATTAGGAAAACCCTATAAAAGTGTCGGTTTCTAATACCAAAGTCCTTTTAGGCAAGTCACGCCATCTTGGCACCGCCTCCGGGCAGCTGTTTCGGACTAACAAGACTGGAATAACGAACTTGAACGAACGTGAGCACGATATGTGTACCACCAATCAGGCAACTGGTAGCTCGCGAGCGATGTGTTGGAGACCCCTGCTCTAAAACAATGTGAGAATAACACTATACATGTGTAGAAAGAATTCAATAAGACGGGCAGACACGACTGCAAATATTTGTATTTAAAAAGCAATATATATTTTTTTCTAAGTATAAAAAAAGAAAATGTGCCTTCCAAAAAAAAACATTTAATATCATTAATGTGTTGTATAAAGAAAATAAAAAGGACATGAGCAAATATAAGTGTCACAAAGATGTGTTGTAAGGAAAAGACAAAGAAAGTGTGTAAAATGAACTTCAACTGTCAGAAGGACAACTCATGAAGAACCAATCATGGACAGAGAGGAATGTTCCACTTCAGAAGAAACGTTAATAATAAAGATTGAGAAGATTGGATCAGTTGTGCTGCTAGCTTTTTTGGAATACTTGAACGCTATTTTTGTGGAATACTCGACGCGGCCCGGCCTGACCCAGACTCTATCTCCAGCGGCCCCCAGTTAAGTTGAGTTGGAGACCCCTGCTCTATATAAATAGTCTCTGCTAATACTAATCTACAGTAATGAAGTTACACTGAAGCATGTCCTCCAGTTCTCTCCATCATCTGAACTCTCCTTGCACCTCAGTGGGATTCAACTGGCAGAACAAAGCTTTAACTGGTGATTATTGAACGCATTACTGATTACAAATGACATCATTTAAGCGCGGTTTGTAAATTGTTAGCCTGCTAGCAACATATTTGCATATATTATAGCATAGTTTGCGTACTTATGCACTATTCTATGCTGTTTCGAAGAATAAGTAGTGCAAGTTTATATATTTCATCATCAGTGTGTGTGTGCGCGTGCATGTGTGTGTATGTAAGTCTGCTTGAGTGTGTGTGTGTGTTTAGCTTAGCTGTCCCTGGTGTCACATGAGGTCATGACTCACCAGTTGTATAAAGAGCATTCCACTGAATGAGCAGGTGTGTGTGTGTGTGTGTGTGTGTGTGTGTGTGTGTGTGCATGAGTAAATGTGTTCATATCGTATTACAACATGATAATAATTACATAATATTGCCATTAATAATCATTTGTGGAAACACTGAACACTCTCAGACTACGAGAGCACATTAAACAAATATAGTATAATAAATAAAAACTAAATAAACAGCTGGGATGTATCTGTACTCACAAATAACACAAATATGATCTATAAGTTTTGTTAAAATTCCGACTAAGTTATGAAAATGTTATTTCTGAATGTTCTCAGAACGCTTTTTTCTTGGATTGCAGACATTGAGGGAACTGTCCATTTGTAAATGAATCTTAAAACATTATGGGAACATTACTTTTGAACGTTCTGAAACAAGTAGGAACATTTAACAAAAACATTCAAGCTAAAACCGCAAACTAAACCATTTCAGGTGATGTACAGATAATGATTTTGTGCTAATGATTTGAGAACATTATTAAAGGCTGAATATATGTTATATTCAGATTACTGGAGGAATGTTTGTTCATAACTTTGAGAGATCATTGCCAGAGCGCACGCTAAAGTCCTGAGAGTGTTCTGGGTATCAGTCACATCTCCGCCTGACGAAATCATTGCATTTATCAAATTATCAATGTTTTATACCTGGGGTCTCTGACGACCCAAACTAAATGAACAGACCGTATTATCAGTGATGTCATATGTCGTGATGCAGCATTCAGAATGTGTTTGAGATGTTAAAAGGTCTTTGTGTTGTCAGTCAGGACACAGGGTTATGTGTGAGAACACACACTGACAGAGAGAGAGAGAGAAACACATGTTACCTGCTCGTTCACGGCCATATTCTCGGAGTCCTCCATTCCTCCAGTCTTCAGTTCACCCGCACTGATCTACAGTAATCGCTGACCTGACACACAACTTCCCACCTCTCCGTCTGTCACCTGATTTCCTTGGTCTCCCTCCCTTCTTCCTTTTCTCTCTACCCCTCCCCTCCTTCTGTCTCTCTGTCTATCTCGCTCTCCTTCTGTCTCTATCTGACCTTTTAAACAACTTGTGCTCCAGAAATAGTGTAACACTGGCTCAAACACAACCACTGAGCAGCTGTTAGTGCGGCTGAGGAGGACACAACGTTACACACACACACAGTTGAAATAAACAGGATTGACACACAATCAAGTTACTAAATGGTCTAAAACTTTGATGAAAGTTGGATGTGAATTGGCTTTCCCTTTATGAACCTTACTGGCTTTCACTCATACTTTGTGCATGCATACACAGCCCTGTTTGGACACAAGAAAACGTTGGGATTTTACGTGAATGTGAGTGTGTAAATGCCTGTTTTGTTCTTTATCTCCTCGTCCACTTTGTCCACTTCTTTATCAGAGCAGACTGCAGTTGATTATCGGCCCGGTCCAGCTCTCCTTATCCTGCAGAGGAGCATCTCTTCCCTCAACACACAGCAGATGCTGTTAAATATAGCCTGCTATCTGTGCTCTCGTTCACTCGCTGCACAAGATGATCTGTTCAACCAGAAAGACTCGGGGGAATTAATACTGTGACAATGAACATTTATTTAAGAGCTCAGCAAACAATCAAACTCTTTGGCGTAGGCGCCGTCCGTAACTCGCATTCCGAGGGTTCGGAATCTGCATATCCTGCATGCGAAGTAAGGAAGGGTGCCATCTGGTGGTGGTGGGCTGGAAGGAGAGGACGTCCTGGTGTCTTCAGGGGAGAGCCAGTCTGGAGGTGATGGGAAGGATGGAGAAATGTTAAGGAGATCCCGTTTGGTGGTGTGTGGGGAGGATGGAGGTGGTTGAAGCGACAGCATCTGAGAACTCAAACATGTGTAAGTACCACCCTTTTATACTGGATATTAGAATATGATTGGATAAATGAGAAGGTAATGCATGACATGAACAATTGAGTCTTGCACTGGCTTCATTTCTCTCATTCCCCTGTGCACTCCTCTCTCCCTCAGCTCAGGCCATTCTTGTGCAGAAATATATAGAAACATGTCAACCTTGAAATAAAAGGCAAAGGTTTGGTGTTCTGCCAAAGACATGGTGCTGAAAAAAATACATCAATGCGTTTTACGTTCCCTCACAAAGAATGCAGAAAGTATAGGGAGCAATGCAAAGTTCTTCAGGGGGTGCAAAACATTTGCAGGTAAACGCAAAAGCATTTAAATCATTTTTTCCTCCCATCTTATATTTTTCCACCGCCACGTCCCTTTATACACTAGCCTGACTTCGTCATACTCATATTCTAGAGAGAAAATGAGTCTGAAACCGCTCCGTAGGGCTTTGATTATGAGGCGTGTCGTAACCGAACCAGGAAAAAAACAACCTCTGCACTCAATTGGATAGTCGGTAGACCTACAACCAAGGGTTAGAGTTAGGGTTAGGTTCTAGGAACTGCAAAAGTCCCTCCGGTCGGAAAGCGGCTATAGGCTGTAAAAAATAGGTCGGCACCTTTGTCTAAGTACTTTGTAATTTTTATGAAATATAAATGTAGAGAAGTTGAATACCTTATTTTTATTTTACTCAAGTAAGAGTAAAAGTACCACAATTTAATTATACTCAAGAAAGTAGAAAAAATGAAAAAAAAAGTACTGTAACAAAAGTATTTGTAATTAGTTACTTTATTTCTGTTAAACAATAGTAGCCAGTCAGTTGCTATTGTGTAAAACAAACGTGTATAAAGTTAAAAAATGTAGCAAATTATCATTCAGAATCGTTTATTAAGAGCCGTGTGTGGTGAGGTTCTGCTCGACTCTCTTCATCGCCGCTTTCTCGGTCTGATTCTGCCTCAAACTGATACTGCAGTCTCGACATCATAATTTACGTGTAATTCACCGTCTATCTATGGTATCCACCTTTGGCATGCCCGTTTCGCCCGTAAAGGTAATGGGCGTTAACCTTCCGGACAACGTGAGCGATAGTTTAGCCAATCACAACACACCGGCCCAAACGAACCAATCTGAGCCCACTGCCTGTTTCTGAGGGAGTCAACCGCTCGTTCGAGGACAGACGAGAGCGTGGCTTACAATAAAGGTGAAGTTTATGAAAAATAAGACTTTTAAAAAAAGAAAAACCACGAATACATGTTATCCGTCCTTCGGATGAGACGTTAAACCGAGGTCTTGACTCTCTGTGGTCATTAAAAATCCCAGGATGTCTTTGGAAAGAGTAGGGGTGTAACCCCCGGCATCCTGGCCAAATTTGCCCAGTGGCGTCTGTCCATCATGGCCTCCTAATCATCCCCATATACACCAATTGGCTTCATCACTGTCTCCTCTCCACCAGTAAGCTGAAAAAATAAACAAAAACATAATAAACATAGAAAACATAATTCTGTATGATTTATAAGATCTGTCTGCGTCTTCTTCACTACACTTCCCAGGATCCTCTTGTCGCCACACCTGAACTCACTCCCTCATCAACCAGCATCGTCCTCATCATCTGTATCACCTGTTTTCACATCATTATGTTTGATTCCTCATTGTATTTGGTTCCCTCTGTTTGATTCAGTCTTTGTCGGTCGTTGTTTGACGTTGCTTTGTGTTTGTGAGAATTCCTGTCCGTTTGCCTGTACCTGTTTGAGTTTAAGTAAAAGAATTGAATTGGAGCGTTTGCCTCGGTCTTCTTCTTCTGCCTGCACTGCACCACAAACCGTGACAGTTTCTACTGGTATTACTATCCTTTTGGGGTAATTTGGTCCCCATAATCTAGGGATTCATTGCCAGTATATATATATATTATTTTAGAAGCAAACACACAGTACATCAGACTGTCACAGTGTCTGGTTGTGTTCCCTTGTTTATCCACTAGATGTCCTCCTTCACATCGGTGTCATGTACTTCTGGAACTGCATTTCCCAGCATTCTGTCTGTCACTGTCAGTCATCAGTTCATTGCACCCGTAATCATTGTTCCCAGCTGTTCTGTGTTAGTCTTGATAGTTCTGTGTATATATTCCCTGTCTGTGTTAGTTTGTGTACGGATTTGTTGCTGAATGTCTTGCCTGTTCTTGTTTTGTTTCTTGTTATTTGTTTATTGGACTGCTAAAATGGATTTTGACCCCTGCATGGATGACTATGAGTTGGATTGCCCTGATAATAAATATGCTACATTTGGATCCACCTGTTTCCCCGTGTGTTCCCGTGACACAAACACACAACCCATGAATTAATACAAACAAAATGTGATGTGACGTTATACTGAAAAATGTGAACACTAAGATTTAAAAGGGTAATGCTTTATAAAAAGGTATTATTAGTTAACTCCTTCAGTTAACATGAACTAAGAATGAATAATACTTGAAGCATTTATTAGACTTAGTTCATGTTAATTTCAACATTTAATAATGCATTATTATATTCAAAAGTTGTGTATTAAAATTATAATGCACTGTGAACTCGCATGAACAATGACTATAAATTGTTCTAAACTATATGTGAATTAACTAATATGTCAATAATAACGTTTCCATCAGCTTTTATCGCATTAGCCGTATATATCGATCAAGAGAAAATTCAATGAGACCGAACGTATTTCATTTGAGTCGATTTTCATGAAATTTCATCGAATTTTACTGTTTCCATAAGGCTTTTTTCATTCGATATCACTTAATTCGCATAAAAACGTGTCGATGGGAACATGGCTATTGTCTGGTGCTCTCCAAAGTAAATGTGGATGGATTTGTTCCAAAGAGGCAGGAAAGTCAGAAAAAAAGTGAAAACATTTGTTTATAAAACAGATCCAGTGCATTATTATATTTGGCTCAAATTAATGAAAGTGATAGACGTTTACCCTTTAAAGTTTAAATACACCTTGCAGTGTCTGCAAAATGTTAGTATTTACCACGGTTGACACAGTAATGCGGTTTGTTAAAGTAAAATATATAACGATCATAGGGGCATATGTAAATGCACAGGTGGGAATGGATAACTTGCAAATGGAAAAGATACAAAGCATTAAAGGCTATAGAGATACTTGGCGACTTGATAGCAGTGTTTTAGCTTTAAAATTCATAATAAATCTTGTCATCTCACCTCATCAATACAGGTCTGTGATTCCACACCGCTTACTCTGTGTCTCCAATAACAAATGTGAACTGATCCTGCAAAATGAATGTTTAATCCAGATAAGCACAAAAATATTACATATTCCAAAACAAATAGTAACTGAACAACTCGAAAATTTAATTACAAGCATTATTTCTAGAGGTGGGTGATACATTAAATATGTATGGTGGTTAAGATTGATTAATATATAAATGTCTTTCGAAAGTTACAATATTGGATCAGCATTCAGTATGCAAATTTACCTTAAAGTCATTTAGTTTGTTTAACATTATTTAAAAAGTCGGTTTAATAAAAATAAATAAACATTTTTTAAACACATTTCAGTAGACAAATTCCTTGAACACGCCCACACAATCAACAAATGTATTGCTCATTGTTAGTTTATGTTAGTTAACTAATGTTAAGAAATGAACCCTTATTGTTGAGTGATAGTGAAATATGTCTTTACAGCGATGGTATAATAGGATTAGCTAACGATCAGGAGTGTAGACGCGATGGTAACGACCCGCAAACAACTGTTCCCTTATACCTACATGGAGGTACTCTATAATTACAGAAAGGTACACCGTAATTTCGGTCCACTTTTGCAGGTTGCATATGCTGTTATTTGCTGCTTGTAGGGTTGGGTATCGAGAATCGAGTATCGATTGGAACCGAGACTAACTTTTCGTTTTTCCCGGAATCGTTCAAAAGTTAAAATTTCGATTCCTAGTTTCGATATTCACAGTCCGCCGAGCGCAAGAAGAAACCGCTGAACAACACCAACGAAGAAGCGTCTACCGGAAGTGTTGGCATAACCGCGCGAGTCGAACATGAGTAGCTTACGTCGGCGATCCAAAGTGTGGCTTCACTTTTCTAAAAATAACGAAATCTCGGCAAA